GGTGAAGTCATTAAAATCCTCCTCAGGCTGATACTGAGACAGGAGCACACAATCATATACGCACATATATACATATTTTTAAACATTTCTGTGTGTATTCATTTTTGTATTATTGTGTCTTTTACAACGATGTCCATTTTTATTTTAAATCTAACCAAACCACTAACATTCTTAATACGTTTTTTTATTGAGTTATTTTAGCTCACAGATCGATGCTGTTATTAAATAAATCTACTTTAACCTGACAAAATCACACAGGCACATCCAGTAACCTAAAACAAAGCATTTAATTTTTTATTTAATGTTCCTTTATTAACATTCCTGGTCTAATGATTTCTTTCCCTCACAGTTCCAGTCGCCGCCCTTCCTGACCCGGAGCTCCTGTTCTGGATTCAGGAACTGGGTAATTTTAATTTCAATTTTAATAACCTCATGAGAGGACTGGGGAGAAGAATGAGGAGGTTGAGAGAACGGTTACACATTGAGGAGGTGGAGGAAGGTTCTTCTGATGATGATGATCAGGAGGAGGAGGTAGAGGCTGAAGCAGTAGTGGTGGAGGAGAATGAGGAGGTGGAGATACAGGATTTTGTGGAGGTAGAGGTTGAGGACGAGGATGAGGCTGAGGATGAGGACGAGGTGGAGGCTGAGGATGAGGAGGAGGCTGAGGATGAGGAAGAGGTTGAGGATGTCTAGGGTCTAGGGATGCCTTAGGGAGCGTCTTGCACCCTGGCTTTTCTTTTACCCCGCTGCTAGATTTTGATGTAAGTTTTAGATGTTAAGAATTTCCGTTAGCACAGACATCTGAGGATATGATAACAACTAATAAAAGGGGTGAAACACAAGAGCTGGTTAAGGCAGAAATAGTCTAACATGCTCTACATCTAATGTGGACATTCTGCTAGAAGGAAACCCAAACAGTTTTGACAAGAAGAAATACAAAAAGGAGACACAGAAATTAAATCCTGGTTAAAAGATCAGCCACAAGGAGGCAAACCAATTCAACTAAACAGCTGGACATCGCTGCTGAGGACAACGGAGGAGGTCAAACTTAAACCCTAAAGGAGAAAAACTGGAAAGAATGGAACAGAGACACAGCTTGTGGTGATCATCAGCTGAACTGGTCTCTGGGATGTTGGTGAGAAGGTAGAGAGATGACGCTTGGTGGGACTAATAGATTTAGACCAGTTAGAGGCAGAGGACAGGACTGATGTGAGGATTTGAGTTGTGAGAAGCACCGACTGTTAGAAACAGCTTTCAGATGTGACTTGGTCTAGTTCTAGATGTTCCTCTGGTTAGTTAGTTTTCAGGCCTAGTTAGAGGGAAAATAACCCTCTGCAGAAATATTCTCCATATCATCTAGGCCTGTCCTGACTGCAGTGGATCTCTTCTGTGTTTTTTGAATCCCATGTTGGACCGAGCCTCTCCAAGCTTTGGGCCATCAGAAGATGCTGATGAGATCTGCAGCGACCAAACCAGAGGAGGATCATCTTAGCTGCTGACCTTCACAAAGAGTGAGAGCATGTTCAGTAAGGAGCAACAATAATCCATCTTTTTAATATAAAGTTAACATTTCAGGTGGCCTCACTTAGTTTTCCATGTATGTTCAGACACCGTGGACGTCCAAAAGCAGAACTCCTGTGAGGAACCGGGACATCCAGGATGGTGAGGTGCTTTCCAGTCCCCACCTGAGGATGGCACAGAGAAAGACTGGAACAGAAAACACACGGAGTAAGACTTTATTAACATGACTAACCAACAACTCAAGTGTCCCAGGCCTGATTAAAAGATAACAGTCATTGAAACACAGAAAGACTAAGATTATGATGAAAACAACCTCCTGCAGATTAATTTGTCTTATTTTTACAGGGAAAGCAGGTTGAACAGCTAGCAGTGTTCTAGCAGTCGGATCACATTGGAACAGAATCCATCCACATATGTTTGGAGGTATGTTGGTTTGACTAGAGAAACATCGCATGCAGATAGGTTAAGACTCTGAGGATGCTTTGCTTTCATTTATGAAGGAGCTGAAGAAGAGGATGGAGCACAGACCACTAATGAGGAGAAACATGGCTCCTCTTTTTGTCTCTCCAACATTCTGGAGTCTAAAAAACGTTGACGACACCACAGCTAAACCATCAGTCTGCTACACCCAGTAGTAGAAGGTAATGAACCTTTATTGCTTCCAGATGTTCATCAGTTTTGGTGAAGATACTAAAAACAGATCCAGAACAAACATACAAAAGCTACAACCATCCCATCAAGGTGGTCTAACCTTTATTCTTCTTCTTTCCATCATGAATTGATGTTCACCTCTATTTGTATCTCTGTAACCAAATCTTTATCAGAACCAGAAGTTCTGACTTTTCCATTAAATCACAGACAAACAGTTAAGAAGCAGCTTCTGATCAAATATGGGAGATTTCCCCCTGGTTAGTCTCTGAAGGTTTTTTAGAACCTATTAAAGCAGAGAAACGACCGACGTAGACTCCAACAAATGCAGCATTTTTAAGCATTTTTTCCAAGCATCCATAACTTTAGGTTCTCCCTGTGTGTTTCCCTCTTTTATTGGTTAAAGTTACTCCTCTCCCAGTGTTTATGTGTTTAAATTTCACATACTAGCGTGTTCGTTCACTAACTCCTGTTCTTTTTTTCCAGATAAGGTGATCTGCTCCTTGGACCGGCGCCTCTGTGTCTGTCGAACGTCTGCTGTCCTGTTAAAGACTCGCTCAGCCGCAGTAGATGGGCGCTGACATGGAGCTGGGTTCTGCTGGAGGTTCCTTCCTGCTTAAAGCTGGTTTTTCTCTCCACTGTCACTTCATTGCTCAGGAGGAGGCACTGCAGCAACATTGACGACTGGATGTGATTGGCTGAGCTTCCTTGGATTGAAGACATGTCTCTGAATGCCATGATAAACTGAATTTATCTTCACCATATTGTAAATAGGATCTAACCAGATGTTTGTGTTTAGATTTGATTCTGTGTTTGTTTTGACTTCTGTTACATGTTTCTGTATTAAAATTGTCATGTTAATTGCCTTTAGATGACATTGCTGGGACTTATTTTCTATTTTTTAAGTTTTTATTTTAAAACTGATTTATATTAAATCCCCTACTGGGTCTGGTTCTGTTGACGTATGCTTCCTGTTGTTCTATCTTCATCTGTTATTTCTCACTATAATAAAGGTTTGATTGCAGTAATGTGAACAGGATCTGTTTGTATTTTCTGGTAAAGTGTCTTGAAATAAGTTGTAAATTAATTCTTTATAAATAAACCAAACTGAAGTCAAATTGAGCAAGAGTCCTAATATTACTATAGTACAGCACTTTGGCAGATTGGTGGTTATTATTGTTTCCCTGTTGGGCGTCTGACCTGACAGCTCATGTTAATAGAACAATTGTTCTTGTCACCTTGCAGTGTCAAAACAAATTAGCTTTAAGTAGACTTATTAGCAAGTACTTTCTTTTAACCTTTAAAATGACTATAATTACTAATTAAGTGTTGTTTTAAATATAAGTGTTTCAAAACTATCCCTAAGTGTTATTTTTTAATGGTATTTTTTCTTGACATTGTTTTTATTTTGCCACTTGTCATAAACACAAACAGTCATCACTTTTTTCTCCTTCCTTTGCTTTTTTTCCTGCCCTCTGGAGGCCACAGAGGAACTTCATCTGATCTGTCACTGTGACAGATATCAAACTGGAAACGTGGCACTTAGTGCCACAAAGAAAGGTCACCATATTGCTCCTTTTGAAGAAAATGTCACTGTCAAAGTGAATCAGATATAAAAACAAAAAGAGTGCAGAAGCCTACACTTTCATTTGACCTTATCACTGTTTGTCGTTCACGTTTACTCAGTTTGGTCGGTCTTTTTTTACATTTGATGTCCACATTAAATAATACACTAACACCCTAAAATGAAGGTTGCTGGTTAGAACTCTGTTTCAATTGCTATGCATGCGTTTTTAATAATTTGATCTTCAGCACTTTATCTATAACTATTGTTAAAACAGTCCTCACAGGTTCGCCTTGATTTCCCTTAAAACAAAAAAATGACCTCTGTTTTGTTTTTGTCTTTTTTTTGTTTTTGACACCAGTGTCAGACTATGTAAAATTGTAATTTGTTTCAATACATTATAAATCTTTTCTAAGAGATCAATATAACATGGGTATATATTGATGATTTGCATTAAATATTATTTAGTTACCCAAAAGTACTACTACTACTACTACTATTAGAACTACTACAACAAATATCAATAATATAATATGGTAGTTATAATCATAATAAGAATAATAATCTTCATTATCTTGATGATTAATAGTTGCAGATACTAACAGCAGCAGTAGTAATACTAGTATCTTGATTAACAGCCTTCCAGTGCTCCTGGAATTTCACTTTATAAAGAGCTGCAGCGCTTAAAGGATTTGACCACAAGATGGCAGTGGTATCTTGCCTACGATTTTTGTTATTGTTCATGGGGACAATTAACATGGGGAACGTGAATGAATTGTAATTTTGTTAAGAAAAAGTGCATTTAGATTCTGCGTCATTTCACCTCTTCTTGGACAATAACACCAGGATCGACTGGGTTCTACTAACATACTGACATAATAATTAAGTAATAATTAAGCAATTCTCCCAATGTTAGGAGAAACAATGTGCACGTCAAATATTATTGGAACAAATTAACACATATTTAACTTTGTTCATTGCATCAATGCACTTTTATAGGTATTTTGTCATATTTTAATGGCAATATATAAACGTTTATTGAAATATTTAATCAGGTGTAGCTTTTCAAAGTATAACAAATGCCAGAAAATATAATGTCAATGATGGAAAAGAACCAGCAGAACTGCAGAACTTCCTTATTCCTGTGTTAGAGGCTAAGATGGAATATATACTGTTTTAGACCATTTTAAGCCATCTCAGCATAGAGGGACTTACTATATATAAAATGATGAGTGTAGAAGATTCAATTTCTTCAGGTAGAGATCTTACTTTAGAAAGTAATACTGAAGAATTAGAAAAAGAACCAAACTATTTATGCTTTTTGCACTTTCTTTTTTTGTTTACTTAGAATGTTATGCAAGAGACCTGCAGTGTAAAGAAAATGTTGTTCAAAATCCTTTACAAAGAATCATCTGAGTGGTTTGAATTTATGTGAACCCATCCTTACTGAACTTCTGCTTAAACTGGAACAAATGGAGTATGTCTCTACCTCCAATCTCAAAGTTTTGACAGTATTTGTTAGTTGGATTTTAGTCTGGATTTTGAATGAGACATTATAACATTTAAATATTTGTTCATCAGATCAATAACGAACCTTTGGTTGTATGTTTATGGTCATTGTCTTGCTGGAAGCACAGCCTCCACTCAGCTGAAGTATGAAGTACAACTTTTCATCCAGGGATTATTTGATGTGTTTGTTTTCGGAGACAAATTCCTGTTTGCATGAAAGCCACACATTTTTATAACATATTTAAATTTTTCTTACATATTCCATTAAGCATTGGCTAATATTGTTTATGCGTTTCACAGTAAATGTGGCTCCATTCCACAATATTCACATTTTCACTTATAAAACCTTTTGCAAACATCTATAATTTACCTTCTTACTAATGAATGATGAACCTCTTTGTCTTCTACTTTATGTCACATAAAGATCCATGATTTTGATGCAAGCTCTTTTCACATCGTAACAAATAGTTATTTATATTTTTCTCTTCTTTTGTGCCAAATAAATACACAAAAATGTTTCATGATACGTTTCTTTTCATTGCATTGCAAGACTTTTATTATTTACAGAAAAAAAGCACATTTAAAGCTCTCTTGAGATGTAACCAATTACAGGCAGACAAAGCCATTCTTCAGCAGCAGTTAAATCCTTTAAATTAAACACATAAATCAGACCAACAGGGAGATTCGCTTTTATGGAGTGCCAGCACAAGTTCATTAAAACACTCCCAACAGAGTGGCATGTCTCACATTTCCCTAATTTCATCACTTTATTTACATCAACATGTAATTTACATTTCTCTTATTGAAGGAAACCCTTCAAAGTATCATTTGTAAAAGCCACAGCAGTAACATACAACAAGTTCAACATCATGCTGTGGTTTTATTATGGTAAATGAAAATAAAATCGTCTATAAAAGACAACAAATGGTTATTATCTGATTATTTACTCATCGTGTTTATGTTTTTTATTCCCTAAAAACACACTTATATACATATCTATGAAATGCTATTGTTGAGTATTATCAAAGAGGCCCAGAGTAAAAAAGACATTATCATCCATCGGTTGCCTGAAAGCAAAATTATAATTGCAGGATAATAAAGTCTGACTGCTTGCTTCTTTTGAGAAGGATGTCCTTGAGGTTTTGTGCCAGAGAGCCTGCATGTCATTTTCGGCTGAAAGTAAGCCAAAAATAATGCCCCCCCCAGCTCCAAACTGTCTGATGCAAAAAAAACTCAACTTCACTGATGTTTAACAGTCCTCAGCTGTTTTTAATTTCTTTCTAAAATTAATTTCCCTAAAGTGGATGGCATTTCTTTACATTTATTAAAGATATCCGGATAACAGACATGTTATGATGCACTATCCTTGTGGGGACTTTCCATTGCATCTATTAATGTTGCATTCATTGCTATAGCCTAACCCTATCCTTTGCCTTAACCCTAACCATTATAAACACATTTCAAGCCTTTGTGCTAAACCTTACCCTCACCCGAGGATGAGAACTTCTCCAGCCGTTGGTCCCCAGAATTACCTATTAGTCCCCAAAATATTGCATATAAGTCAGTAGTATGGCAAACCTTTCTCAGACAGAGGTCAGACACTTTCTGAGGGCTACAAGAAATAAAAACCAAGGTCAGATCTGCTATTAGGGGATAATTCCCATATGTGTTGAGCCTAACAAGTTTATTGTATCAAAGACTTTCTGCAAACTAGTTAAAAATAAAATACATTAAATAACACAACTATAGGTAGAAACTTCATGAAGGTTAGAGTGCTTATTAAAATACACCAATTTCCAAGTTTTAACTGGCAGAAAACCTTTTTATTTTTGAAACACATCCAGTCTGGATGTCCTTCAGTTGAGTCATCACATTTCTCTCAAAATGTAATGAAAAAACCCAAAGACTTGCCCCAGAAATTTCAGTTTTTTGCCCGCTCTCTTTTCTAACATTGATGTTTTTGGATAAAAGGTAACAGAGGTTCATGTTGCTCAGCCGGTGAGATGTTCAACCTGCAGGTCAAACACCAGATGGCATTATATGCTGCACAATTAAGCTTTAAAGATATAATATCACTCAAAAACAACATATTTTAATTTGAAAAGTGAATCAAGGACGTCTGTATGCCTTGAACCTAGAGATTAAACAATGACATGTGCTTTTCCTTCCATTGGAATTTCTAAACATTGTCTGAGAAACGTTTTGAAATAAAGAATAAACTAATATAATCGTTTTCTGTAGTTTAATTGCTCTATTATTTTTTTGAAGAAATGAAAAAGTCTGTATCTTGGTAAGTGAGTAAAGTGATGATATGACTATTTAAATAGCTTTTAATAATAATTATATTTTAAAATTTCAGACGAAAGCCTTTAACAGAATTGCTTTTTTGGGAAAAAAGCATTCTGAAAACAGCCTACATGCACCCCTCAACAGGATGTTCATGAACTCTTGTTCCACGGTAACTTTAAAGATCACATTGATAGACACTTTTTCCATTATGCATAGAACACAACCTCTAATGTGATGAAGTCCACTCTTGAGTATTTAAAATGTGTAACATCCTTTCACCTTTTTCCTCACACATCTGCTGTAAATGCTTCCATACAGGCAGGTGCATATAGACCTGCTCCTTCCAATTAACTGACAAAATATTCATTCAACACGTGAACCGAAACAGGTCGATAAATCATTTAGACAGGATAGAGCAAAATGAAGCAACTGTGCCACATGAGGTATTTTGTGAGAAAGTGCAATTAGGAAAACAAAGAAGAAAAAAAAACCCATAACAAATTACATTAACATTATAGCAACAAATATCTGTTGTTGACATTTAGAGTGCATTTAATTTGATATGCGAGAGAGGTTAGTGAGCATGAGATAAGACACATAAAAGCACAAAGGCCACTAAAACCTTATAAAGCAGCTAAAAACAAGCTTTGATGGCCTGAACATTGTTAGATAGCGATATTTTTCTTCAACCATCTTCGTTTGTGCAGAAGTGCAGACGCTTCAGCTCTATAAACGGATAGAAAGCAGGTAGTGTGGCAGAGGAGGGACATGACAAGTAAATGCAGATCATCTCAGGCTACATCCCAACAATGTTTACCTAACCCATCACATTCATTATTTATCAAACAAATGTAAATTATCCAAAGACACAACTAATCATTTTTGCACCTTTAAATGCTTTTGTTTTCTTTTTTCCTCAAAACAGACACAATGCTTGGCAAACGCCGCAATGTTTGCATGTCTTGGAAGTTGGATGTTGTCATCACAGGTGTTGATATACTTCTTGTTTATAATCTACATCATTCATTTGAAATGCAATTAATTCTTACTTTTTATGGTAAACAATGCAAAAGTAGCAATCTCATTCAAATTATAGTTCTGAATTATTATTTCTATTGGTAAAATGTGGAAGAAATAAACTCCAACAAAGAGAAACAAAAGTTGGGCAGATTTATTCAGGAAAGGTATAAAGGTTTACTAGAACTGCAGGACACTTGTTCTGTATACTACTCTGTGTTATACAGAACAAGAACAACTATCTTTCTTTTCTGTTTCACAAACAAAGAATTGAAAAACACTGACCATTAAGGCGAATCTATAAAATGGTTGTGAATTTAGATGAGGATAACAACTAAAAATCTTTTCTTTACTAAATTCGAAAGCCCAACATCAAAAACACCCCCATCACAGTTGAGCATTTAACCCCAGGACTAAACATTTAGATTAGAATTATGGTCTGAGGAGGTCAGCCTTAGAACCTGTAGGATTTGCTGTAATTGACAAAACTGCTTCTAGGCAGAAAATCCTCAAAGAGATTTTCTAACTATTAGTTTGTGACCTCATGCAAAAATAAAATCAGCCAAACCAGGCCGCATTAAAACAATTCAGTAAAACAGTACTGAATCAAATAATTATCCAATTCTGAAGTCTCTTTGCAAAGACAGGGCAGCTCATGTTGCAGCCAAGGATGACGCTACCAATGATCTGGTTTAGGGGGCAGTCGGTTTTTCACATAGGGCCAAGTTGGTTTGGAAGGCCTGTTTTTCTCTGATGACTGAAATCACCATTTCAGAATTGCATTTTGAGCTCATTTTGGATAATTCCTGTGATTATCTGAAGCAAATCAGTGTGAGGAAAAAAGCAAACATTTCTGCTCATCTGTTTTTGACCACAAAAAAGAAAATTAGCTTAAAATTCAAAATAATGTTTTCATTAAAATAAAAAAATCAATAACTACTTTTTTGTTTGCTTTTGTGCCTGTTTTTTTTATTAGCGGATCCTGAAGACAACATCAAATTACTAAAACTTACATTGACCAGAAATAAGTTATTCTGTAAGCATGATACCACACATTTTACATTAGAAAATTATTTGTAAACAAATTAAAAAAAAGCATCAAACACATTCTTTGAATAACTTTGGTTCACTTGGGTGCATGCAAACAACATTGTTTTTAGAGATACTTTAAAGAAAAAAAGAAGCAGAAGCATTATAGTTCTATATCAGTTACAGTTCATTATTTCAATTGAATGCAAAATATGAAATCCTGATATTACAATTCAGATTTTTTTTTCTACTTCTGGACTGGTAACTGTATTTCTTTTTTGGATTGTTTAATTTTTGTTTTTACCGCAAAGAAAAAAAAAAAAAAGATAAGACACAGCTTGAGTGAGACACTGTAATAGAATGAGCCTGTTCATGAGTTTCACCTTAAAAAGGTTCAGAAAAGGAATAGCCAGTGACATTTTGGAAAGTTTGAATTAGATCCAACCCAAATACTCTGGTTGTAATATTTTTAAAAAGCACATCTAAATTTTTATCACTGATGAGATTATGAAAAATGGTTGTGCATCCACTGTCAGGTAGGCAGTTACTACTACCATGGTTGCCGTTCAGGTGGGAAAAAAAAAAAAAAAAAAGAATAGATAATCATTTTAAAAATGTCTTAAAAAATGATTTTTTTTTTTCAATTCTCTTTGAATTAATTTTGAATTAATTTATGTTGAAATAAACATAAAAACAGTTTTAGGTGTTTATCTTTTAATTTTGATGATTAGACAATAAATCAATAAAATATTTGAATAATGTTTTGTTTTACTGTAAAATGTATTTTTTAGACCTTTCTAAAGTTCCAGGTCTAGTGTGTTTTTCTAATATGCATTAATCTGTTCTATTAAAGCTCTTAGAGTGAATACAATTTCTTTTGCAGGTGTCCCATTCAGATTTTTTTTTCTCAATTATTGATGTGATCAGTCATCCAAGAACAAAAACTTGGAAAATAAATCCAGTGCATTGTATTTTTTTTTTCTACAGTAGTTTTTTGGAATATTTGCTCAAACATGACTTGCTTTTGTCACTTGTACATGTTTTAATTATTCTTGGACAGGTTTGGGGTATAAAAGCAACACATCCAGGCACACAGAACCAAGAGTCATCCACAGAGTTGCCAAATGTGTTCAGAAAGTCTCCTTAAACCTCTGTTGACAAAGGGAGATACATTTCTCCCCCTAAAAAGATCAATCTGTGTTGTAACAACCAGCGTCCATCTGCGTCATTATGTGAAATTGAGGATGCTGCCATTTTCCTGACCACACCCCCACTGTTAACTGCCATCACTCAACTCCACTGATAGCCCTTTCCCTCAATGGCTTTTACACGCTTCCCACACTAGTGACATCTTTCTCAAATTTCTATGGGGGCAGGGTTATACTTTAACTTTGTGTCCCAGCGAGACCAATAAAAATGGCCACATTTGCACACACATAGATATGTGGTTGCTATCATCTAACAAATTATAGCTTTATGACACCATTCAGAAAAAGCCCAGAAAAGTAAAGGACCTCTATCAATTGAAAGGAATGTAATTTGTACATTGTTTTCTTCAAGAAAAATAAATAAAATCTGAAAGAATACAACACAAAAAATAAAGGGGAAACATCTGATTTATATATATATTTTTTGTTTTTATCTAGGATCTGAAAATTAAATTTACCAACCTTGAACATTTTGAAAAGATAAAATCAGAAAAAATGGCGAACTCCAAGTGCTGTTCAAAAATAATTGTAAGCTACTCTCAAAGCTTTTCTTTTAAATGAAAAGATCTTAAAAGCTCCTTTCTTAAATTGCATTTTTCTTGTTAGTTATTTATTTTTATTTTATTTTTTGCTTTTTTGGAATCATATAGTCAGTCCCAAACTTATACCTCATATTTAAATGTAAGCAGCTTTGAAGTGCAACAGTAGTTCTCTCTAGAAAGAAGCTACCCATTTTAGACAGATGCACTGCTGTTTCACAACTTCTATCTTCAGTTTTGTACATACCTGCTTATACAATTTCTTAATAGTTTATTTAAATTTGTACTTACTTTGTAGTGTTTTCATGAAATAAAGGATAAACAACCATGTACAGTGAGGTGTAATCATGTATAACTCCACATTATACATTATTTTAATTGATGTTGTTTCTGATTCAATTTGCATCAGTTGACCTTTATGGAAAAATACCAAAATAATGTGACCAAAAGTGATGTCTCACTGTTATATATTATATAAAGGTGTCATAAAATCACAGTTACTTTCAGTACATTATAAGCCTAATATTCAAAGAGTTCAAATAAGGAGCACATGAGCTTCAGGTGTATTTAGGCATGTGGTCACCCACAAAGATTGAGAGTGCACTAAAACAAGTCAGAACCAGTTTGGACCACCCTTGTTAAATGCAGAAAGTGTGTGTGCTACTGGCAGTTTGGTGGAACAGGGTAGTGTTAAGGTGTTTGCAGCCATGGAGTTGGAGGTAACAAAAAACTGTAATGAGAATTAAAAGAATAATGAATAATCTCATAACATAATCTAAACATAAATATCTCAAGAGCTACATACAACAGTCGAAAAATAAAAAAAAACATTTAAACAATTAGAGGTACAGTTAAAATATAACATGTTAATAATAAAACCTGAGAAAGTTAACATTTCAAATGCAATATATATTATTTAAAGTTTTCTTTTTTATAAATTGTGTAGCAGTTTGCAATACTATAATAAGAAAACAATAAGAAAAGTGCATAATATTTGTTATCATCATTGTAACTATTTCTCCATTACTACTGTTTGTTATTACCTCCAAATCAATGTCTTTGAAAGTTGAGTTAAAGTAATCTCTCTTTTACAGTTACCTTGTGTCCCAGAACTGCAAGTAGCACACAAGACTTCCTCTCATGTATTGGGTGACCCTAACCAGTGTTGTACCTGTTATCTGCTGAGCATGCAATTTTTATAGATCAACCACAACATGCCCACTATTCTACAGTCGGTTGGGGTTTCTGTGCACAAGCAGTTTAGCCCTCCTTATTTGTAATCCTTGATAATCAGGCCCTTATTTTATAAGAAAAAATCCAGATGCCTTGGATCAACAAAGCATTGCGGACATTGCGGATATATTACAGTTATACAAGTCGTACCCATGAAAACAGAGCATGACCTTAAAAGAGTTGCCTTGTAAATCGCTAGGCTTGATTGGCAGACAGACACATCATATCAAGCTCTGTGAAAATTCTTTGCAAGCAACATTATCCAGTTGAAGCAGCTTAGAGGAAAGAAAAAGGCCAACCACATGACTCTACTTAATCTTCCATTTTTCTAACCTTTTTATATTCCTTACTAATTGTATACTTTAGATTTCAACGGCTGAATCTGGGTAGCGGGGTGAGTGAACAACAGATGTAGGAAATGCTTTGTTTTATAGATAGATAAACTCTGTATTCCATTTTCTATGTTTCAAAAATAAAAACAGACGTCCAAGGCTACTTTTCCCATCCACATATGATGCCTGGGACTCAACTATATAAAGTCAGTTGTAGTGAAAGCTGCTGGCACACTAATATTAACCTCAAAGACATTCAGAAACATCCTGTGAATATCAAAATCACTGCCGTCTGCATTTTCTGTTTGTTTGCATTATCCTTTTGCAAAGTAAAACTAAGGCAGTAGTTAAATGAAACAATGTTTGGACAGCATTTAAAAGTATAAGACACTAAAGGCTCTCCAAGACTTCAAAAGATGCAGAATATTCTAAATGAAACAAAGCTCTAATACCAAACTTAACAGACTGATGCGGTAGATGGAATAATGGTGAAGAACAAAGAGAGTCCTACGATGTACAAGAGACATAACATCTCATCTGTCGCAGCTCTCTGTTTAACGGAGCCTCACCAACGGACCACTTGGCTCGTATAATCCTCAGTGGTAGTGGGCAGGTCATTTTCAGTTTGTTTCTCAAAAACTCTCCCTTTGTGTTTAGAAGGCCATGGCCTGCCCTGCTCCCTTTGCTCCCTCAACCAGCGTCTCTCCTCACGCCTCTTCAAGCGCACCTCCTGGTGCTCCCTCTGCCGGGTGTACTGGAACCGCTGAAGGAACAGGTCCTTCGCATACTCGTACAGCTGAACGTCCAAGAAATTGAGCTCCTCGATGCGTCTGCGTACAGCCTCGCTCAGGTCCACGTTGGCCGCCCTTGTGCTGTTAATCTGCGTGAAGGCGGAGATGAAGCGCAGGCTGAACGTCCGCTCAAACAGGTACTGCGTCTTGCGCTGGAACTCAGTCAGGCCGTAGAACGCCATGTTCTTCAGGTTGCTCATGGCGCTGCTCAAAAGGATGTGGTTACGCTGGCTCTCATTCATTGAGGAAAGGTTGTAGCAACCCACTAAGCTCAGATCAGCCAGCATCCGCACTTGCCGGTTGTTGGCCAAGTTTGAGGGGCAGTTCATGAAATCTTTCAGGGTGACACCAGACCAGTCGTCGCCACTGTAACAGGTAGGCAGCTCATCCTGGGTCGGTGAGCGTCCATCACACATATGGAGTGCTGTCTTCCATGTGGCTCCTCTCTGGACATGTTTCCACTCGCTCAGGTAGCGGGAGACTGGGTCTCGCAGCATGGTGATATAGTAGAAGTTCCTGCAGTCAAAACAAACACAGTTAGAGGGCTGTGAGCCCATCACCATCAGAGAGTGCTGCCCTGCATTGTGCTGACAGATGGTGAGATTTATCTCTGTATGAAACTTCAAGGTTGAATGGTAATTGGAAGACTCAAAGTCTTACTAATTAGATGATTATAGTTGGTGTCTACACGCTGCCCTTGGAAATTGACCCAAGCATTGAATTTACAAAAAGTGAGTAGAACTGTTTTCATGCCACACATTGCCCACCTGCCAACACAGGAAATAATTGCATATCAAGGCAGAATTGTAATTCACGACCATAGAGTAAAGTGAAAAAAAACAAACCCAACTTCATTCAAAACACTGTTAAAATTTAATGAGGCGTCAGCTTTTGTTTCAAAAATCCATAGCAGGTTTAACTGTGAATCTAACAATCCCACCAACAGTAACCCAGTCACAGTAGAAATGAGGTATCTATTTACAATGCTGAATTATTCAATTCAGGTCAATTCAGTTTATTTATATACCGTAGCGCCATTCACAACACATGTCATCACAAGGCACTTTACAATTCAACCAGATTGTAGAGTCAAATTATAGCTATTTAATTATTTAAATTAGAAAATATATTTTATCTGGATCTTAAGAATTGTAAGCCATAAAGGTTAAAATAAAAAAAAAATAAAAAATTCAAACCTCAGCTTAAAAGTTTCTTTATTATAAATCTTTCTTCGCTTTATAACACATTTTTTTTTATAAATATATTTGCCTCTAATGCTAATGCAATGAAAGTAACTGCCCACACTGAACTGTGATTGTAAAATTTGATAGCAAACCACTTTGAAACAGTAGGTTGGAGATTCATGGAGCTACTTGTACAGAAAAGACAACATTCACCGCTCTAGATTAAATCCTATATCAGAAAACACAAAATATGTTTGATCGGGTAAGTGCGATATATGATTTTTTTATATTTTTTTGGCCTTACAACTTATAAGGGTTGGCTCTCATGTTTGAGGGCAGCTCAGACTGCTGTAAAGTGCTCTTCTAGGGTCACACACAAGTTACATAGGGGAGTTTTTGAGAAGGGCAGCATGAACAGATCATCGATATCCACTAAGTGCTGCATATTAACATAAAAAACAATTTCATAATGTAATACTTTGGTCAAGAAGTCACACAGTGGAGCTTCAATAAGACTTAAAGATAAGAATAGTTAAAACATACAAAAGGTGCAGCTTAAATTTGTATTTAAAACTGATAACAGCTGTAAAATTCTATTGTCTAGCATAGACCAAGTCTGTCTCCTTATGAAAAGGAAAAATGTTTTTTGCTGATGATTTAAAACTTAGGTGCATCTTGTGTGTGCTTCACTTTTCAGGGTAGGCATAAGGTTTATTTATCATAATTCAAACCATGTAAAAGCTGTTATGGTGCTCCAGGATGACTTCTCATGCAATCAACTTCTCCCAAACAAAAACTCTGAAGTCTCCTGATGGAGCATTCTGACAGAAAACAAAGCCCGGACAGACGATGGCCACATGAAGCTCTCCCAAGATGGTGTCTTAGTGTGTGTGTGTGTCATGTGAATATTTAATGATACACATGCCCCTGGAGAGTAGTGCAAGTTGGTAAAATGGAGTGCTGCACTGAGATTTCAGTGCAGATTTCAGATTTCAGCTCTGACGGGGCTCTGAGAGCCCCGTCAGAGCGTTTGACGCACCCTGTGGTGAAAATGCTGATCTCCTTTGGACCTCAAGCCTGTTTTTGTGGTTTTTTAAAATGATATTTCCCAGTTACTCATTATATACCGGTACCCCTGTTTAACAGAAGTAAACAATTTTTGCCATTTTCTTTTACTTTCTTAAGCAAATTATTAAAGAAACCAGACATCTTAAATACAAGCCTTGTCAATACAGCATACAACTATTCAGTGCTAGTTCTCTTAAGCAGGACATCTAAAAAAAATCATTGTAGGCTGGCAATAATGATATCAAACACAACCGTCCTTCAAAGGTTTTCCCGTATGAAGCAAACATCTCAGCCCTTGTAGGAACAGCAGCATTCTGGCACTTTGCTCCTGGAGTTGGTTTGCTGTGCATGAATCCTTGTTAAGTTGGGATGTAAACACATGTGTTGCCTGAGAGCACTCGGCAGCCCAAAGGTCAGATGGTGAGCACCATCAGTGTCAAAATACATCAGGATCAGCAGTTCTGCAATGCTGCCTTGTGGAATAGCTCCCTCGAAAGACTGAGATAGCTGTTGAAGAGGCAGAGAGTGAGATGGGATCTTCTTTTTTCTGGCTTTTTGTTAAAATCAGCATCATCCCTATAGTCATATCCCAATGCTCACCAAACATACAGCAAAAAATTACCATAATTATCTGCTTTTTAATATGGTAAAAGCACAGCTTGTTTAGTTTGGTAAGGATGTACCAAAGCCGTATTCCTTCTTCGACTTTGAGCAAACCTGTTCTTTTGGTGCTGGAGTCTAGAACTAACGATGAACTCTTCTTAATCATAGATCAATAATGGATAGCAGAGGTATTGCTGCTTATTCTGCCCCAGAACACTCATGTCTAAGTAGAAACACCAATGACGTTACTTCACTGGAGCACAACTAAACAGGGGCCATTAAGCAGTGATGGAAGATGAATTTAACAGTATGGATAAAAATGGAAACTAAAGCAAGGCTGGGGAAGGGCAACGGAAAGGGAAGATGGCTAAATGTGCTTCTTAGGAATGTTTGTCAGAAATGGGAAAGGTTTCATTTTCATTTGAAATAAGAGCAGATTCTTAGGTGGGGGGTTTGTTCTGCAGATGTTTTTCACTCACCAGAATAGCCTGCTTTAAATGTGTAGCATAGATATAAAGAGAAAATATTGCACAAATAATAGATTTGAGCATGTCTGGTGCAGATACAATGGAAAAGAATGTCTAATTGAGCAATTTTGTGGTTTTTAAACCTGAGTTTGAATTCTTTTTTACACATTCACTTTTTAACTACATGTAAGCATAAGTAACATAAAAGGGATATAATTAGGAATGAACTCAAAGTCTAAGCTACAGCATAGATCCATACTGTACATCTAATTCCCCTCTTTAAATGTAACTGACTTACCTTGTTTAGAAAAAAGGACAGTATCTATACTGTATCCCCATAAGTTCATGACTGATATAACCTCAGAAAAGAACACATCACATCCTAAAAAAACACACACAATGATGAACCACAAAGTTTTATTATCAGCAAAACTTGCTGGAAAAAGACAACTGGCTTCTAATTACCTGTAATTAGCCCCAGTGACACCAGTTCAGCCCACTGCTTCTCTGTGATTACAGGCTATTAAAAGCAAAGCATAGGCTTACTTTTCAGTTTCTGGGGTTTTAAAGTCACTTGAACTGAATTTTAGACAGCCGTGGTGGGTGTTATTTGGCTGCAGGGGCTGAGAAAGCAATAATAAAAAAAACAACTAGGTATAAACTGGGCAAAATGTCTCTTGTGAAGGCTACAACACGGAGAATTAGAGTAAAGAGAAACCAGGTTCCAATGAATGAATAATAAATGATATTGAAATAAGGAGAGATTCACTCAGAGATGACCACGGCTCAGGTTTCAGGTAACTGTTTGAAATAAATGCAACCTGTTAATTTAGCCCCGTGATGGTAGTAGTTTGCCAGTTTTCATCTCCTTTTCTATGAACATTGCATTAAAGAGCAAAAATTAGAATAAAAACGTTTTTTCCATCTCCTTAGACAAGGTCTTCCCATCTGTATAATATTATTACAATGAGTTTTTTTTATTCAACAATATACACAAAAAATATGTTCAAATAAATGTGTTAAAAATTAAATTAGTTAGTTTGCACAGTCCTTATTAATTTTATTTTATGTTTTTCGATTAACAGGACAGGGCAGCCGAATAATGTCAATTTAAAACAGATAGAAAGCAGACATAGATGCATTAAGGACATGAAAAGGTTAATTACAGTATGAGCTTAGCAGTAAAAACAATACACACATTTTAAAAAAAGCTTTAACAATAGAAATTGAATATAATGCAAAATGTGTAATTCTGATAAAATCAAAATAAATAAACATATTTTTAAAATGTTCAGTTAAGTGTGATTAACATTGAAAGGTAATTATACCACCGGGTCATTGGGGCATAAGACTCCCCATTAAATGTTTGTAATCACATTTATTGAACACTAGGTGGTGCTTATTTATTACAAACTCCAACTGGCTTTCTGAATTTTATATATGAGTGTTTTAATATATGTGGTACAGCTTGAAAAAGTAAAATCAACACTTGAAGAAAACTAATTCCCTGAGATGCAATTAGTGTGTAAGAATAACATTTGCAATTTTATTGTTAAGCTATCATCAGCCTTCCCAACATCAATATCAACCCAATGATTAGACAAGCATTGATGGATCTGTGCTGTTTAACATATTAGCAACTATCTCTTTGCTGTTTAAATGCTGTAATCTATTTAAAATGTGAAAAACTGTTTGATGCATTTTGTTGTTGTGAATGGGCTGATCAATGGGGAGAACTCCCCTTTAACTAATTACACTACAATTTCCTGCCTATAAGTTGGCATTTTGGCCATCATTCTTTAATTTTGTACCAATTAAAGAATAATTTCAAAACAAATACTAAATCAATGCATTTTGGTTCACTTTTTTAGATAATCAATTTGTTATTAATTAGAGATAAAAACACAATAATAATTTCTTAATTATCATATCTATTAAGCTGTGGTCTTTGGTTTTCTTAAGCCTTGATCCTTTTGTTCTTCCTGTTGTTCAATAGGAACCGCATTTAGTTACAGAATTTATTTATCTATCTATTTCTTTTGTTTTAATTTCCTTAAACAATTGAAATGACCAAAACTAGATCATTGAAATATATGTTTTTATTATTATTATTTTAGGAGCCTGGATTTATTTTTGACAAAAAAAAAAAAAAGAAAAGAAAAACTCAATTTACATTATGAAGTGATCAGACAAC